CTGTATAGCCAATAAAATTACTACTTTTCCGTAAAAGCTGCAAGTTAATTGGCTACACAGTTCTCGGTCCAAGAACTTGGACCGATTTCTAGTATCGTGGACATAAGGCTTAACACCGGTCGCGCTTCTCTGATAATATAGCGTTTTCGATTTGTTGACTCGATCCAACTCCGAGTCGATGGTCTGTTTTTTTTAGTTATAAAAGAATAGTTTAAGTGTGTAAAAAACGCTAAAAAGAACAGACTATTTTGACTCGGAGTCGGATCGAGTCAACAAATCGAAAACTCAAAACGCTATAGAACTCTAACCGGTCGGCTAAATCGTGGGCATGACCGCTCTTAAGTCCGTATCAGATTAAAGATTGAGATTGAGATTAAAATGGAATTTAATCAATTAAAACAAAGTTCACTAAATTTGAGATAGGTTTTCTTTCTTCTAATTGGTTAAATCCTAATTCAATCTCAATCTCAATCTTTAGTCTGATGCGGGCTTTAGGATCCTCTTTGGCAGGACCTAGAGTCCTAGATTATCAGAGAAGCGCGACCGGTGTTACGAGTCCTGATTGGACACGCAAATGGCCAATCATAAGATTGATTTATCGCTATTATAAATGGCTGCCGCATAAATCAAACTTATGATTGGCCATTCGACGCCATTTTTAATATTTTTTAGTACTTTTGCGATACTGCCATAAGCCGGTCGCGCTTCTCTGATAATCTAGGACTCTAGGAGTAGCGCGCCTGTAATGATAAATATTGGGTATTCAAATATTGGATAATCAAAGAAAATACTCTAGCTAATACAGATACTCTAATTTGAATACCCATTATTTACTATTACCTAGCTATTGTATGACTTTCATGGTTGTAAATTCAGTTTTTGACAAGTATGTATCATATATATTATAAAGAAGCCAAATCGTTATTCACTGAGGAAGTACTTATAATTATGCAAAATTAAATCAATATTTACACATTAAATTAAATTTATTTCTGTATTAATAAACTATAAAGACGCTTAGGTGATTTAAATGTTTATGAAAAGTGCACTATACTAATTACAGTTAATAAATATTGAAAATGTCCAAACTTTTGCTTGAAGAACTCCTAAACCCCTGCAGTCGACCAATGAACCCGCGCGCCTTGCGGCAGCCGAATTGGCGAATGAGAGACCGTCGCGTTTCGCGACGTGCATTGAAAATCGCACGTTCCTCGGTATGTAAACAAAAGTTTGAAACACACGCGATCGCACGCGAGGACGAGATCGAGAACGTGATTGCGGTCGACAGCGCTTTCCGGGATCTCTCTTGCGGAATCTTGTGCGCGGTTGCTGGAGGTTAAACGCGCGGGACGAGCCGATCATGAACTCGAACGGGATAAAGTTGCTGAAGAAAGCGTAAGTCACTTGCGTTGTACTCTCGCGGTGTCGGAGCAGCAGATTTTCCACCTAACCTTGAAATATTTGTGCGTCAACGAGACGCACCGAGGGTGCCGAGCCGAGGCGCGGCGGGGAACGGGCGATCGCATCGCGCTGTAGCAGCAGCCCTAACTTTTCCCCTTGCGTTTTGCAGCGACCCGTATCCGCAGGGGATGCGGTGCCAGAAGTGTCTGGAGATGGGGCACTGGAGTTACGAGTGCAAAGGCAAGAGGAAGTACCTGCACAGATCCTCTCGCACCTCACAGCTGAAGAAGGCTCTGCAGCAGCAAGAGAATGACAATAAGTATGTCGTTTTGGAGTTCTCCCGCTATGGAATGTCTCTTATCGAGTCGTGTATCTCTTGGAGAAGGGAAAATGTATCTCGACGATGTAGCGAGGATGCTTTACTTAGAAAGCTAAATTACTTTGGGCAGTAGTGTTTGTTCTTTGTGTAGATACTGCGTATCTTCACGAAGAAGTAAACAGAGAATACAAGATTTTCGAACGTTTTAAAAAATATTTGATCTTGATGTGAAATATCTATAGTTTGGATAATAGGCGTTTTGTTCAACAAGATACACAGTTGACATGGTGTAACACAGTAAATCATTATCCTTGCTGTTTAATGTTTTTTTCATCATCTATTTAAACAAGGACGAAATGATTTACTGTGTGCATCATGTCATCTGTGCCTCCTCCTGCAAAATGCCTAAACTCAACTGTCCTTTGTGAAGGTATTGTGTATCTTCATGAAGAAACAAAGAATATAAGATTTTTGAAAATATTTGATCTTGATGAGAAATATTTATAGTTTGGAAATAAAAGGCGTTTTGTTTCAACAAGAAACACGGTTGACATAGTATAACACAGTAAATTATTATCCTTGTTTAATGTTTTTTTATTATCTATTTAAACAAGGACGAAATGATTTACTGTATGCACTGTATCATCTATGCCTCCTCCTGCCCAAACTCAGTATCTTAATTAATGTATTATTGTATCATGTTTCAGCCAAGAGCAAAACAAGAAGGAAAAGAATCATCACATCAAGAAGAAAATGAGGCAGGAGGAGGACAAATCTAGCAGTTCGAGCGACGGGAGCAGCGATTTGAGCACCTCCAGCAGCAAGAGCAGCATAAATTCCAGCAGTAGCAACAGTAGTAGTAGCAGCAGTTCCTCGGACAGTGAGTCGGACTCCAGCGATAGTCTGTCTAGCAGCAGCAGTAGCAGTAGTAGTAGTAGCAATAGCAATAGCAGTCACGGTTCCCACAAAAAGAAATAGCACAGATCATGAAATGGAGGCGAGAAGAATTCCCGTCTCGCTTTTGTCAAAATGATCATTGCTCTGTCCGAGCACAATGCCATTTTGCCTTGGAGCGGAACTCAAGTGAGGAAAGAGCAAGTTGAAAGCGAAGAATACTTGACAAAATTTTTTATGGCTCTTGTACAAGATACACGTGTAATTCGTCAACAAATACTTTTACCTCATGTAGGTACAAAATGTGCTTGCTTAAAATAAGAAGTATCTATACTTTCGATCTATTTTTTAGTTTTATATTCTGATCGTTAAAATAATTCGTTACATTTTTGCTACTCAGCTTTTTTTATGACATATTTATATATATATAAATTTATGTGTAACAAACACAAACACACACACGCACACGCACACATACACAGTGTTCCGTAAAGCGATGAGATAAATCATTTGGAAATGAAAATAAGAAGGAAAAATATGAACATATTCTTATAATAAATAATTGATAGCTTTGAAAATGCATTGTTAGTCTGATCTTTGCCTCAGGATGCTAAACGGACCGTACCTCATGCATCTTGGATAGTGCTAAAGTTGCCCGCAACGTTTGACCTTAATTATATTATAAAACTTATAAAATCATCTCTTCTTTTAATTTTGACAAAAAATTTGAAAAGCAAATTTCAACGTAAAAATGACGATAACTCGAAAACAATGCAGTTTTGGATCTATCTTTATATCAGCTTTTTTATTCTTGAGTCTCCATCTCCTCAGTAATTGATTCAATTTACGGAACACTCTGCATATGTATGACTAATATATATGTATATACATGGTCTGTCCAAAAAGTAAGAGACTATTTTTAAGGGCTTAATTAGAATTGTCGGGGAGTGGATCCATTGGACAGGGCCTTTTGGTGCAGGATGTTAGTACATAATCTGACCTTTCTCAGTTGTCTCCAAGCCTTTCAGTCGATGCCATCAGCAAAGTGTTGTAAGTTTTGGATCTTATAACGGGCGAAAATTCAGCACAGACTGCTGTATTTTGAGCACGCGATCAAATTCTGAAGAAGCACTCCCATAAACTGTTCTCAACATCTCCAACGTTTCGAAACGAGATTTTCTCAGTTTCACGCAGAATTTGATCGCTGCTCGAGACTGCTGAATTTTCGACCGTGATAAGACACAAAAATTACAACGCACTTTACTGACTGTGTATCAACTGCTAGAAAGGCTCGGTGGTAACGTAACTAGAAAGGATATACCTGATTGTATACTTGACATCCCGCATCAAAGGCCCCGTCCAATGGATCCTCCGACAATTCTGATTAGCGCCAAAAATAGTCTCATTATTTTTGGGACAGACCATGTATATTTACATATATAGGTGCAATCCATTTTGCATATAATCATTAATACATCATCAATACATCATTTATCTTGATTGTTTATCAAAGATTAAACAAGGATAAATGATACATCGTGCATATCGTGTGTGAAACGGAATGCACCATCTCATTGAAGAACATTTTCTTCTTGATATCTTTGTGAAAACTCATATTGCGTTAATAGTAATGTTGTTTCTCTCATAAAGGCTTTAAAATTGTTTATATTGAAAGTGTGAAATCAATTGCTAGCTTGTATGAACTCGACATTTAAATACAGTGTATTATTTTTGGTACTGCTGGACGCATATGTAATAGATATATGATAGGAACAATAACTGATTTACTAGAAACGTAATATATTTAATGACGGAGTAATTACAATTATTATATTTGTATAACAGTATTGAATAATGATATAAAAAGATGTTAATGAGTACGCCATCAGACATTTCGTCAGTGTGTCGATATCGTCGATATAAAAAATGTTATGCATTAGGGATGGAAAAAAAAGAAATCGCTGTTTCGTTACATATATAATTGAAATACATGTACAAAAATATAATGCCGCCTGTCTTCGAATCAATCTTCGATACCTTCGGGCAGAGTCTGTATTATTACTTTCCTCCTTGGCTCGTAAACAAAATTGTTCGTCTTGAATATGTCACTCTCATAGAACGGATGTAGATTATGTATATCAATTTGCTTCGCCTGCAATTTATAAAACATCGATGTCAGCGTGACGCGCACTTATTTCCCACACAGGTGTAAAAAAAATGGATGAAAGCTATCATGTGAACCTTTAAGTAGCGTAAAATAAGATTCTTTTGTGTAGTATTTTTTTAAAGTTAGGACAAGATAAAGAATTTTTTTAGCCCAAACCATTTTGACGTAATTTTTTAATTAATTTTATTACCCGAATCCTCGTTATTATTTTCGAATGTAGTCAAATTTAACGTAATCGTTTGCATTACCCGTTCCAACAGATCCTTCTCCGAGATCTCGACGGTCGTGATACGTCCGCCGTGCAAGGCTTTCTGAAACGCCAGAGTGTCCAAGGTGATTTGTCGCAGTATGTAATACAGGAGCTCGCTGTGGTCTTTCTTGTACGACAGATATTTCTGGAACGTCTGCAACGTGAGATGTGCGCGCATTAAATTCAATCTTTGAGACGGAAAGCAAAAAGAAACTGCAGATTAAAATGACGAACGAAAGCGAAGAGGATACCTGACGCATAGATTTCATAACGGAATATTTCTGCGTGTCGACAAAACTGTCGAGAACTATCCTGATAGCCAGATTCATGTCACTCTCCTGAACGTGATCCCTCAGATGCATCTTGGCGCTAGCCTCCGCCATGCGAATGATGCTCTCTATGTGGCGTACGGTGATCGGCAAACTTCCAGTCGCCTAAAAACGTAATAACGGGATAAAAACAATATTGCGATGCATCAGAATTTCTTTTTTCTTTACATTCAATAGTATTTAATATTTTTTCATTAATCTTGTAAGAATATATATACAAATTATTCTCTATTTTACTGACTCACCAAGCTTTCCTGTCTCAACTGGCTGTACAGTTTCGCCACTTTGTCCTGATCGATGCTAGTCAGCTTTGGATGTACATTCTGCTTTGCGTAAACGATATACTTTTTCAGAAGATCCTGTGGAATGCACAGGCTTTGGGTGGCGGGATCCAACACTACGGCTTGCGTCCTCTCCGTTCTCTCCGAGCTATCCGTCGGGTGATGCTTGATGTGCGAATTCACGACGAACTTGGCCAGATGACGATCCTGCATGGGATCGATCTCGTCCTTGACTATGCACAATACGTCAAATCGCGAGAGAATCGGCTCCGAAAGATCTACCTGTAAACAATTCAATATATAATACATACATAAATATGAATTGTTCTTGCATATTCGTAATTTTACAATTTTTAAGACAAATTTAATTTTATAATACTAGTTCAATAATTTCTACATTTCCATGAATATTTTTCCTACATATATTTTTTAACTTCATTTACAAATCACAATTTTGTGCATGCGCAAAATTAAAAAATTCTAAAAATACATACATTTTCCGAAAAGGTCATACTGGGGTCGTATCGACCACCGATAGGATTAGACGCCGCTATCACCGCGCATCTGGCGTGAAGAGATGTAACGATACCGGCTTTTGAAATAGAAATACTCTGTTGCTCCATAGCTTCATGGATACTTGTTCTGTCCTGATCATTCATCTAGAAAAAATGGATATTGTGATTTTTTTTCTAATAATTATACTCATCAAATTGTAACATAAATTATACAAGTTTATATATAATTTTGATATTCTACATAAATAGTCTATATAGATTTGATAGCTATAAAGTCTACATAAAGTCTATATAGATATAAAAGCTATAAATACTAATTTTTCTCTCTTGATTCTCTCTCTCTCGCTCTCTCTTTCTGACAATAATTATTGACAATATAAAAATCCAATACTTATATAAATACTTATAGTGTCATCAATTAAGCATGTGTGAAATTAGCACCCCAACATTAAAATTCCATAGTTCTGATTAGTCTCCGCTTTATTTTGAAGAGACGAAGAATTCCCTATAGTTTATAACAAGCCGCTCAAAACTATGAATTTTGATAAGATGTTAATACCCTATTTTTTAAATTTAAATTAAAAATTGTTATTAAGCAAAACTCTTGTTATAAACTATAACTTTTCGTCTCTTCAAAATGAAGCGGGAAGTCTAATCAGATCTATGGAATTTTAATGTGTTATAGTTAGATAAAAATTATATAAGTTCGTACTTTGTCGAACTCATCGATGAGACATATTCCGTGATCGGCAAGAACCAAAGCTCCAGCTTCCAAGGTCCATTCCCTGCTGATGGGTGATCTCCTGACGTAAGCAGTCAAACCAACGGCCGAAGCGCCCTGGCCCGTGGTGAAGACAACCCTCGGTGCCACCTTCTCCACGTACTTCAAAAACTGCGACTTAGCGGTGCCAGGATCTCCGCACAGCAGGACGTTTATATCACCGCGAACCTTATGCTTGTTGCCTGGACGTTGCAATATAATGCAAATAGTAAAAAGGAGCATGTATAGACTGATAAGATAATTCGAACAAAAAATGTAAGTACCAGGATTTTTCGGCTCGCCGCCGAATATCGCCAGTGCCAAGGCTCTCTTGATGTTCTCGTGGCCGTAAATCGAAGGCGCGATACTCGTGACTATACGGTCCGCGATGCGCTGATCCTTACTGAGAGCGAGTATACTCGAGATGTCCTCCTCCGTCAGCGAGTCTACAATTTCCTTCGAATCTTTGACAAATAAATGATTGGCCAATAATACTGTGGAGAATACCGGGAAGCCCTGCAATATAGAATACAATAAATTAAAATCTTATCCCTGTAAAAAATTATTCTTTCGAAGCGTGCCTTAAAAATAGATTAATAATATATAGTAAACAGCGGGTAGATATAATTACTTAGCAGGTAAAGAATTTAATCTTACTTGCTCGGTGTTTAATGAACCCTCGTAATTATTGGTATAAATAGCGGTGACGTCTATCTCGTCCCCTGGTTTGCAACGATCGCACAGGTCGGACAGCAGGATGCAGTCTTTGCTGCGCGGTATTCTGCCAGCGGGTATTCTACCCGGGGATTCTTGTATCGTTATCTTCTGGTAATTTCTGTATATAGTTTGCTCCATATTGATCTGATACACGCGACACATTGTACATAAGTAAAGACGATAATTTTTTAATAATTAGACGTAACAATAAAACGTAGAATAGTTCTTCGGCTCACCGTGAATGGACCGACACTCTGACATTCGGGACAGGAGCCTGGTTTAACTTCCGTGTTTTGAGATTGGACGAACGGCCCGAGGACGTAGTTGCATTTCGTACAGTCGTACTTCACCACCGACAATTGCGGCAGGACGCCCGTGGTCGCCGTTACCACTCCAAGAGTACGGACCAATTGATTCAAGTGGAGTTTTCTATTGTAACAAGATAAGTGACATAATTTCATACATTTGTATTGCTGAGATTGCAATTTGAGTGAAATTAATTACATGTCAATTCCTACCTGAACGTGCGTAATTCTTCGATCAACGGCAATTCCGATATTCTCACGTGAATCTCCGTCGTGACTCTCTCGTAACTGGGGAAAATCGTAAGCACCAATTCCTTTGCCACTTCATCAAATATTTCGAGCATTTGGAATGGTGCTTCTGGTAAAAAATAGGCCAAAACATGTTCCTTACTGGCGAGAATGGGAAATTCCACTATGAAACTGGACTATTAAAATAAACATAAAATAAAGTAAATTGTTAAATAAAAAATAAATATAAAATAAAAACGTTTTATCTTTTTAGAAATAAAAATAAATCACGTATAAGTATAATAAAAGATGATTTTGTCACATAAGTTACAAAATAAAATAGCTCTGATTCCAAAATATAAAAAAGAACAATTAAAAATAAAATATAAAAAAAACTTTCTAAAGTATTTATCACGTTGAAATTATGTATAAGAGATATACCTGGTTGCTCTCACACATATGGCGAATACGTTCTTTGTACATGTACTGTCCCTTGGAATTTGTATGAGTACGAAGAAAGCTTTTGAAGCGATTCGAAATTTCCGTTCGTGGTCCTAACATCATAACCCACTCCTTTACTGAGTGTCCTTTGGTATCTTCTAAGTTTTCAATCGATTCGATCATCTGAAATAACGAAAAAGAGCTCCGTTACTTAAACTGTAAAATACTTTGACGTGAAAGATTCTTACTTCTGCATCTTCTAATATGCCAGTGGCAGCCTTTTCAGCCATACGCCGTTTGCGTGCCTGCACGTCTTCTTCGTCAGTTTCATCTAAAAATACAAAGAAAAACATCTACTTAGAAGATACATGATATGAGAATTTTATAACTATTTTTAAAATTTTATAGACCATTGTGTCGAAATTAATTCAGTATATGAGAATTGTTCTATTTCTTGGTAACATGATGAAACAAAATTACCATAAAGAAGATCACGGTCGTCTCTTATAATACCAGCCGCACGATCTCGTTTTCGCATTTCTGCTTCCGCGGCTACACGTTCGTCCTGAGACATCTCTGAGTATTCTTCCTCGTCCAATAAGTTAGGATCATATCTGTCCAACGCTGACATGGGTCGATAATCTCTGTTATAATTAATAATTTTATTATTACTCAAGTATATCTTTATAACATAAAATAATTCAACAAGACAAATTATTCTTGTTATTAATAAAGTTTCTTGATACTTATATGTCAGATATTAAATGCTGGTTCATACTCATTGTATAAACTACTATTTTCAGACATATTAAAACAAATATTTTAAAAGCTTGTAATATCCTTACGCCTCCATATTATCCCCGAATAATTCTTCTCCCTCCTCCTCTTCCTCATTGTTAGCATTATTATCTTCATCGAGCAAATCAGATTCATCTTCAAATGGTTCGTCTATGTCAGGTGCAGGGGAGGTTTGTTGGCTCAGGCCATCGATGTGTTGTTCAGAATGCACAGGAGAACTTGGTTGACTCTTGTGTACATGAAATTAAATGTTACGTACATTTCACTTTTTCTCAATTACGAATCTAATAAATCACATTTTCAATGCACATGTGCACGACAAGAATGTTAAAAAAATATATATAATTCTAAATGTACATATATACACGTTAGAAAATTTATCAAATTTTTATATATGCAATATATATTATATTAGTGTGATTGTCAGTCTCTTTTATTTATATCCATAATTGTGTCATGTGTTGTTTCACTCGCTTCTGTACACGCGTGATATGCGTCAGTGTGCAATACAATGAATTTTGAAAGTTTACCATGTTGGTGTTTACGATACGCTTCCGCCACGAATGAGATCCTTCTTCTGTATTACTGCAAGACGTTTGATATAACTACGATCGTTCAACTTTTGTTGAATCTCCAACACAACTGAATACAACTGTGGCGAACCGAGAATCAAATCGTCACGCAACGCATCGAGCCCGAAGATATTACAATTGGCGGGAATACTTCGTAAAGGACTCTGTCATAGAATGTTGATGGCGAAGAAAGGCAAGCGTGTCCTGCGTGTCGCGTGAAATTCCTAACCAATAAAATGTGCTTGACTTGGTCCAATGTCGACGAATCAGCTTTCATTTTACCTCTTGTGACATGCAGTTTGAATTTTTCCGTGAAACATATGTATGAATTTAAAAATTTACGGTCATTTTAGCGATACTTAATTGTTCTTTTTTTTTTTTTTTGAAACCATGACTCGCATATTTTATATACTTATAATACTTATTTTCTAATAAAATAAATAAGTATTATTAACAAGTATTTAAATTTAAGCATTATTTATTTTAATAAATATTTCAATCGCTGATTAAAAAGGTACATAATTCGTTTTTAGTAACTATTATCTGCTTCTGCTGCAGTTATAAATTTGAATATTTTTTTATTCATGTTCAATATGTATGTACACAAATTTTTTTCTATTAAAACAACGTAATTTATTAAAAAATATAAAACTTATGTATTTAATAAATTTCACATTTTAAAAATATACATTAAAAATATTTCCTATACCATTTTTTTGTATATTATTCGAATAAATCGAATAATATCGTACACATTCACGCATATGGCAAATCTTTTTCTGATTATGAATTACGTAAATAGGAAGCGTTAGACCATAGCATAGTGGATCATACTATGAGATAATAAAATTATGGAATGAAATGAAATAAGATAAAAAAAATGAAGCTGCTTGATTCTAATCATTAAGGCCCGATGTACTGCTGTCACTTCTACTCGCGCTGCATAAGTTTAATTTCGTCATTTCTTCCACGTAATCATCATCTGTAACAAGCCATACAATTGTGGAAATTTCAGATGCAGATTAAGACTGCCCAATTCTCTCTACTGTTATTTATACATGTAACATAATTACATAAAATGTGGTTTCATATTTATTTATATATTTATTTGAACATATGTATTTATTCGTTACCTGACTCATTATCGCTCAATTGATGTGGCGAAAATTTACATCCTCGCGCTAAGTAGTGCTTCAGTTTGCCAACACTGGCCAAAATTAAACCGAGGAACGGAGGCGATGGTTTCAATGGCCTCGACAGGTATTCAGGATGAAATTGAGTGGCTACATAATAACTATGCCCTTCCAATTCGGCAATTTCCATTCGTATATTTTCATCGTCGTCGCGACCTATAAAAATTTTTAATCATATCCCTCGCTTACAAAGTTGCGTAAATATATTTAACGAAGCTGTATTATTTTATCGAGAAATGCGATCTGACTCACCTACGAATTTCAAACCAGCCGCTTCTAAATCATTGACGTAATCCGGATTTATTTCATATCTATGCCTGTGCCTTTCTTCTATAACATCTTTATTGTCGTACAATTTCTCTGAGGAGTAAATAATTACACGTAAAAAATATATGTCGACACGGAAAAAAAAGAAATTCAACTCGATCTCTCTGTCACTTACTTAGGATAGAGTTATTGTTGTAGAATCGCGTCAGCCTCTTGCCCAGTCGCATTGTGCCCCCCATTATGCCTTGAGTGTGCTCCGGCATATCTATTACTACGGGACTAATGGTATCTGGATCGATCTCTGTGGTGTTTGCTGTTTCGAGATGTAAGACATTTCGCGCGAATTCAATGACCGCCGCTTGCAGGCCCAGACAAATCCCGAGGAACGGCTTGTCGTTCAGCCTGCACCACTCGCATGCCTTTATCATTCCGTTCACACCTCTCTTGCCGAATCCCCCAGGTACAATAACGCCGCTAGGCACAATGGATGCATTTTAATTTTAAGAGTAATATTGTTTAATCAGAATAAACATGATATATGCTCAAGAATTGCATGAGCATATTGAAAAATATAAAAATATTATATTGAAATATATTTACTTGCTTTTACAAAGCTGTTGCCAAGCTTCGTGATATAGAACCGGATCCTCCGACAGTGTAGTTTGTTCTAAATTAGCAGCCTCTATAAACTGTAATAATCCAACGTTTATAAATAATCATGGATATACAGCACACATATATATATAATCGTATACTTTTAGTAATTGCGACACTTTACCGTCAAGTTTAATTTATATCCGGCCTCAATGGCAGCGTGCTGCAACGCTTTCATAACAGACGCATAGGAGTCCTCGAGTTTCGTGTATTTGCCTACCAAAGCAATGTTAACGTCTCTCCGTAGACGATCCATGCGTTCAGCTAGATCCCGCCATTTTCGCATAAAGCAACGCGGACGCGGCACTCCGATGTTCAATTGCAGTCGATCATTAAGGAACTCTATGACACCTTGAGAGTCCATAAGAAGTGGCACTCGATATATAGACGTCAAGTCATGAATAGTTATGACCTGTGTAAAACATAGAATAATAATGTGTTAATTAATCAATGTTTTCATGAAGACGCATATATTGTAACACTAAATAAAATATCTTTCTTTTTATAATTACCTGCTCCGGAGCCACGTGGCAGAAATTCGAAATCTTTTCCTTGACAGAATTGCCGATGAGCTTTTCCGATCTACAAACTATCAGATCGGGTGACAAACCTAATCCCCGTAGCTCTCTAACGCTGGATTGTGTCGGCTTGGTTTTAGGTTCACCCGTTGATTTTGGCTACAGTACATTCATAATACTTTAATAATTGCTGGGAGAAAATTGTTGTCCCGCAAACGTCGTTCACGGAGTTTAGCAAAAGTTATTATATGTACACTTATTGTTAAATACATTTGTGGAAGAAATATCTATATGGCGAAAAGCGAAGATATCATAAGTCCAATACATTACCTGTGGCACTAAAGATACATGGGCCACGCAGAAGTTCTCCTTTCTCACTCTAAATTGGAATTGCCTAAATGCTTCTACGAACGGCATCCCCTCGATGTCCCCTATTGTGCCTCCCAGTTCCACTATGCAAACCTAAAATTAACATAACAATTGAAATAATTGTATTATAAAATTATGTATAAAAATATTCAAGAAGTATTTTAATTTATATTTGTGTGGGATAATTCTCGTTTGATTATCTAAAATAAATTGTGTACAAAATAACAAAAATTCGCGAATCAACAATAATACCTCTGGTATAGCTCCGTCTTCTGTTACAGATTGATTCGCAACTTTCTCCACCCATTCCTGAATAGCATCGGTGATATGGGGCACCACTAAGAAACAAGGTATCCTTTTTTTATTAGTTTATATAACAATCATACATCAGACATGCAGTACGATATAAATAGACTTATTGTAACCTTGTACTGTTTTTCCTAAGTAATCTCCTCGTCTCTCCTTGGTAATAACAGACTGATAAATTTTTCCCGTCGTTATGTTATTGTCCTTGTGAAGGGTGATGTCCAGGAAACGTTCGTAATTACCCAAATCGAGATCCACTTCTCCGCCATCATCGAGGACGTATACCTCACCTGTTTTGAGACAGCAAGAATACCTTCCGTTAGAATGAATATTTACAGAGAAAGGTAACAAAGGTGCCGACAAAAGTGCGTCTACAGGAAACCGTAACATAAGAACGTTTTCCTTCCAGGGACAGCTATATCGCATACCTGGCTGAACAATGAGACTAGCGACAGGTATTATGTTTCATTCAACATTTGAGACCATTCTTAACAAGTGGCAAACAACTGCAGTAACACAGTAACATCATAATAATTGTATTTTAACAATTGGGATAATTTGCGCCAAATTGATTATTCTGAATATATTATCATGCAAATTTTGTTTATAACACATTTAGAATTGTGAAAAATAATTTAATAATTGTGATCAATTTAATGATACTTAATTTTGTTAAAAATATTTTTCATTAATTTTAATTAACAAAATTACTATTAATTAATTTTTAATTAATAATAATTTTTATTAGAAATATTTTTTAATTAATAACAATATAATCATAAATGAAACATAATTTTAAATGTGAGCTACATACATATTTTGATTCTAATGAAAATTTTGTACATAAACTTTTAAAAAGTAGAAATCCATACATAAATCAACAAGGCGATGTCATCAGGCAAAACAATTAAAATTGAAATTTTCGCTTTGTGTTTACATTGCAGGTGAAGTAAGACTATAAATTTAGAAAGTGATAACGCGGTTCCATAACTCGGCGCCGGCTAAATTTTCTGACCGCAGTAAACACATATAAATCGAGCGTATAGAAAACGTGCCGGAATCGGAAAGATCCGGAAGAATCGAGCTGTCATTAATTTAATAATTTAATTGATGATTAACTTATCAAGCATTATTTCGTTAATTATACAGACCGAATCGTTAATCTTGTGTCCTTTGACATGTGGGAAAAAGAGAGATATTAGACTGATTAGAAATTGTTTCTGGTTGAATTAATCATCGATTAAGTTAATCGGAATTTAGTCGGAGCCGCGCAAAAAAATTTCTCGCCAATCGCAAACGAATCGAGCTCAAAATCCATCGAATCGCTTATCGCTGCGTTCCGCGTGCGTCATCGCAGTACCGCACGTGTTTGCAATTCTCTGGCACGCTTTCCGCGTGGCTGCAATCTCCATCCGTCTGGATGGGCCTTTGCGACGTGACGACAGCGGCAGAAAATGGCGCAGCGGCGGCACATGGCTGAGAAATTTTACCGCCACAGGGTGCCGCAGGGAGGGTTGGCGCGTCGACGTCCGATCGGGCGATTTTCGCCGGACTTTAATCACACAACCGTACGCCGGGTTCCGTTCGGACGGTAAATTAATTTCATTTCCTGCCTGTCGGCGACGAAAACATCGCCGGCGAACGAACGGGGATTCGGCGGCCGGTGAAACAATTCGAATTTAACCTCGCGACTCCACAGCCTTTCACAGTATACTTCGAATAAATTCAATATAATTGCGTAAATATTAAATAAATTTAATAGAAAAATATTTTAATATTTTTTTGGACAAATACAATCGTGCGATTCACTTGCGTTTGAAGCGACGAAGAAAACGTGACGACGAGGGGAGAGAAAAAAACGAGGTGGACCAAGCTCCAAATTAATTCCGGAGTCGTGGCATCGCCTCGCGACTCCGCCGCGACTTTCCCATAACGGACCGTCGTACGGCGGTGCGATCGAAGCTCGACGGAGATCCCGTCAATTTTCGCGACGCCGTGAAACGTCGGGAGACTCGGAAGCTGCAGCGCGCTGCCCCTCACCATGCTCGTAGGGCGAGAACGTTCCGGCGTCTATGTTGATGTAGGGATCGATCTTGATGGACGTCACGCGGATCCTGCAGTGCTTGAGGATGGTGCCGAACGAGCTGGCGATGACACCCTTGCCCACGCCGCTGATCACACCGCCGGTCACCAGAATGTACTTCATCGTCGCCGAGACTCGTGCAATTGTCGTGTAACCCTCGTGCACAACGCGAGAGAAAGAGAGAGAGACGAGAAGATTCGTTCGTCCGCGCGCGCGCGCGAAAATCCTCGTGTCTCCGCGGCCCGGAGCAAACTGAAACTCCGCCGCCTCCGCGGACCGCGGTTAGTTTAGCTCGTCACTGAACGGAAGTAACGGAGCCGAACGAATAACGGACAGCCGGACCGGACGGAACGTAGAACGTCTATGTAAAGCAGCTGCACCGTGCTATACTTTCGGCACTTAGAATGAGGCAGACGCAGAAAATTGGACGTGTTGAGAGAAGGAGAGAAGATGAAAGAGTGCTAAAAATTCGATTACGAGGAGCGAGTGATGCTAGTCCGATGATAGATTTATATATAAATTATATAAATATTCGTTTTCTTTTTCATGATTTAACAAAGCATAAATATATATTAATATATATAATATATTTAATTATATTATGAAAAAAGCCTACCTGAAATATAAATTATACATATTCGTTTTTTTTTTCATGATTTAACAAATAGTATAAGTATATATTATATATATATATTTAATTATATTATGGACTTATCCGCAAGAGATCAGTATTTATACTTTGAAATCAAAATCAATCGTACTTTATTCCAATGTCATATATTTGAGTCTATAAATATTGCTGTATATATATTATGTACACAGAGTATATACATATGAAATTGACCTTTTCAGAATCTCATCAGATAATTTTTATTATGTTTTCAAGGAGAAATTGACTCTCATTACAAAATTTATTCAAATTAAAATCACAAGAATACTACAATATAAATTTTATATACATTGTATATGTTCGTTTTCTTTTTCATGATTTAACAAAGCATAAGTATATATTAATATATATTTTGAATAAACTTAAAATAAATTTAAGGATATAAAGTGAAAGCGTAAGATAGAATTATTGCCAATAAATGCGTATGGATAATGTACTTTAACGTGTTCGATTTATATATCCTAGAACTCATAAATTTAAAAATGTAAAACTATGAAAAATGTTCTCAGATATTAACAGACTCTATAAATAAATTCTTCAAACATGCGTTGTAAACAAATATATATTAAAAAGCATTCAAATCTGAACTTGTTACTTGTTGATCTTAGTCGTTAGTGCATATTCAAACACGATCACCGCATACACAAAAATAAAAGAACAGATTTTAAAAATATCTTTTACTTTTTTTTATATTGTTACATTTTTCTAAGGTAACTTCTAAACGTGAAATCAAGATTTAACAGCCATCGCAATTAACTGAATTTTCTTAATATGAAAAAACAATTACTTACATCGGTGATACAAATCGATGAGATACGTATATATCACTTATGCCTATTATCTATATCTGCACATGTAAATGTGTACTATCTATTTATCTACACATGTAAATACACTGTATTTTGTTATTATGCCACGTCTTCAACAACACAACGCTGCCAATTTCCGGACTGTGCTTAGGTCACGAAGGAGCATCTGGACAGTCTGCTTAGTACGGGGTTGTACATGTGGATCCGATACGAGTTCATCCGGGTCCATAGCCTCTAGAGCTGCACATTAAAAGCACATGCGATCAAGTGACACCTGTTGAACGTGTCTTAATCGATATATTTCGCGTTTCTTCGTCTTTTATACGCGTCTGTTCTGAACTATGCGTACCAAAAATTTGCGCTTCTATGGACGTCAATCTCGAGTCAATGTGACATTGGAAATGCTCAATGTGCTCCAACAATCGCATTCGGCATTCGGCTGGGTCGATCGGCGCCTCGGGCTCTGGTATAAAAGGCTGCGGAAGCGCGGAGACTTCGTTTTCGACGTTGGATATACTCGATTCTTGTTGGACAATGAGCGATCCAGAATTGAGATTCTCAGGTACGGGATCGTCAATAATGGTTTTCTCAGCTAACAAATCTGCACAAAGATATTATATAATATATAACAGTTATATAATCATTTATTTTTTTATCTATTAAATTATGTCAAATTCTATCAATTACAAAATGAAGAAACTAAATTTTTTTTTCTATTTTATTGTGTCACTGGTACCTGCACTCTCCGTTTTAATGTCTGACGCAGCAATGGTTTTCTCTTTTACGTCTGAATTGCTCGTTAACGCATCCAAAAGTATGTGACTGTCCTTCGAGTTCATCAAGCCCTCCTTCTTACTGTTGATCTTAGATTCATCAGAATGTGTGCTGTCCTCTTCCAAAATTTTCATCAATTCTGAATCGGAAGCGATCGACTTCTCATCTTGATCGTCCTTCAAATGTCACACAATATTGTGTGTGACACAACTTTGTGACTATTGTTGTGTGTCACACAACTTTTTCTCCCAATTCTTGGCTCAGATATATAATTTCGGATGATCTTTCTTCCTGTATAAATTCAAGCAAATTAGTCATCAAGATCGGAAGAGCACACGT